GAACCGTGATTTGGTGGAACGAAGACTTTATGTCAAAAAGGGAGTGAATTCGCCCTTTCAACAACTTGTCCGAAGTATCATCAACTCGAGGAATCGGAAGCTGGCTAAAAGCTCAAAGCTTATTGAGCTTGCGATAATTGACAGTGATGCGAACACCACCGTATTTCTTCGGTATGACTACCAAAGGACTCGAGTAGGGCGAGGTCGAATGTTGGATCAGACCAGCCGCAAGATATTGATCAAGGATCGCGTCAACTTGTTTCGCCACCGGGGGGTTAACGCGGTATGGACGAGACGTGACGGGTGCACTGCCAGGAGGAACTGTAAGTTTGAAAGGAAAAAGCGAACAGGATCCAAAGTCGGTTGGGGAACTCGAGAAGACATCATGATATTCGCACAGGACGTCACCAAGTTGAGTGATGACTTCTGGAGTCCAACCCGGGCCATGGAGATTGAAAGAAATCTCACGGAGGTGGCAGGGGAGCTTATCCCACACGCGGGAAAAACTCTGACGTTGTTCGGACGTCAATCGCTCAAGGAGAGCAGGCGGGGGCGACGAGAGAGAAGTACTGGCAGAACCAGGGTCTTCGTGGCCGGTTTGCGACGGCGTGGGTCGCTCATGCAAATTATACACAAAGGGGTCATCAGTGCGATGCTTGGCAGACGAATCAATGCCACCTGTCGAAACAGGACCCGGAACCCAGTTGCCCGAAGCAGCGGTGGGATCTTGAGCCGCAGATTGAAGACCATCGCTCAAACTGTGGCGAGACACATCACTGAGAGGCACGCGAAGCAGGGGAGCCCAAGCTGTACCCAATATGTCGCCTGGTTCGAGAGAAGAGATACCCGCGAGCGGGAGTCGTTGGCGACCATTTTGCACAAAATGTTCCTCGGAAGAAAACATAGCACATTGTGGAAGCATGTCCACGAGGTAGTTACCTACGAGGGTTGGAGAGCCATCGCTGGGCACCAAATTAACCGGAACAAGGCTATTTTCGGGGTGAAGTTGGACGGAAAGTTTTCCATCATAGCGAAGTTAGTAGTTCCCATCTGTGGAAGACAAATCGTGAGCAAATGCGGCGGCACCGCAACTGCCATGCTGAGCCAGGGTAAGCTCACCAAAAACACGGTCACCAGGGCGTTTCGTACGCAAAGTGCGGTAAGAGCGGTCGCTAAACCGCATCCAACTGTCCCGCCCGAGGAGCACGTCATGATGCATAACACCATCAGGAACAACGTACGCCCAAACAGCGAGAGAGGATGTAGGAACGCGCTTGCGAAGAAACTGCACGCTCAAACGGACAATAGTCGAAGTTTGAAGCGGAGCAGATTTGCCGAAACCACCCCAACAACGAGGTTGGGTTTGTTTCTCAGACAACGACGGAGCGGCCGAAGCGGCTTTCATGGATTCCCACGCAGATGCACTAATAAAAGACTGCGGGGAACCCGTGTCCAAAAGTGCAACACATCCAAACTGAACAGAAGCTGAACCACTGTGAGTGAGGATTTGTGTGGTGAAAGAGTCATCATCGATGGTAACAACACCACCAACCAAATCCGGACCTTGCTCAGGAAGCAAAGAAGAGGAAGAGGATGGCGAGGTGCACCCTGGAGACACGGCCCAAACAGCGGTGTCATGATCCGACGGAACATTCGGAGCGTATTGCGAAAATGACGCGAATCGTTCCGTCGATGGAGGACNGATTCCCACGCAGATGCACTAATAAAAGACTGCGGGGAACCCGTTTCCAAAAGTTCGACACATCCAAATTGAACAGAAGCCGAACCACTGTGAGTGAGAATTTGTGTGGTGAGTCATCATCGATGGTAACAACACCACCAACCAAATCCGTACCTTGCTCAGGAAGCAAGGAAGAGGAAGAGGATGGTGAGGTGCACCCGGGAGACACGGCCCAAACAGCGGTGTCATGATCCGACGGAACATTCGGAGCGTATTGCGAAAATGACGCGAATCGTTCCGTCGATGGAGGACGTGAGGCCGTCCGGAGACGCTGGTGTGTGGAAGGGCTAACTTCATAGACATGTTGAGATGACGTCGAAACGTGATCACTGGGAGACAGCAAACGAGAGCTGTGCTCGGGTGGCGGGGCATTGCATCGCAAAAGGCTGCGTACTCGTTGAAGGGCGTTGCCTAACAAACTGAGACCGCGCCACCGAGAGGTGTATTAGGCGTCAGGATCATCGGCTTGAAGGCCAATGCCCCAAATGCAGTCGTAGGGACTGGCTTCGGCAAGGATTTTGTCGCCAGATCCGAGAAGTTGATCGCGCAACTCGGAGTTTTGACTAAATTTTGCGTAAGAGCCAGTGAGCACAATATTTTCGCGCTCGTGTTCCCAAAGGGATGGGTCGAAACCACGGACACTGCGGCCAAACTTCTTGTGTAAATCAGGATCGGACACTCGTATGATGTTCTGCAAAGCGCTATGGTCTTCGAAAAGACGGGCTTTTTCCGCAGCGAAAAACTGCTCAGCACATGAGTATACCACTCCATCGACCACAATAGTCGACGGTGTCCACTGTGAAAAGGGAGATGGGGGCTGCCAAAAGAAGACCATGTCAGGAGTAAAATACTCGTTAGACGGGTCGAAGACAGCGGGGACTGCAGGAGCCGAAACACCTGGAGTATGTTCAGCCGAAGCTTAGGTGGCAGCCAAAGCTGGTGTAGCCGAAACGCCCGTATTGTAATTTACGGCATGGACGTCCATGGGGACGGTCTCAGCTATGTCAGAGACCGACGAAGAATCGACCGGAATCGGATTATTCGCAATAATTGGGCCAGCGACATCATGCTGGGTGTGCCCCAATTCTAAACCTGAAGAAACGCCTCGTAAGGTGTCATTCAATAGGCCGCTTTCGCTAGAAACAGCCGCCAAGGCCGGGTCGGTTAAAGAACCAAACCAGGCATGGTGCTCCTGGCCATTCCTCCGTGACAGGGTACGCGAGACCGCCGGCTGTTCGGAGGTCACTCCGGGAGGGTCCTCCCGAAGCGGTGGTGTCAATACTGTCGACGTCGGTCGCGGCGGCTTGGGAATTGGCGCCGTGGAGCGAGCGTGCGTCGGAAGGGATGGAGCGCGTGAAGACGATCCATGGTCGAAATATCTCGTGGCGGAATCGGGTGGCGTTCGGTGGTCAGGACCAAAAGAACAACGTGATTCGAAACCAGGCGAATCTGACCCTGCAACTTGCCGGTCGGAACCAGTGAAGTTAGCTACCGGTGCAACAATCGAGGGCGAATCCGCAACGGAAGCGAGCACAGACGAGTTGAGCGTATCCGAAGATTCACCCGAGGAAACCAATTCAGGCGATTCCTCTTCAATCGTCCAAAGCGCATGACTACGGCCGGTCTGATCTGCAGACGACGGGGGGAGCGAATGAGCGGTGCCCGACGAACGAGCGGTACTCGATGGCCCCGAAGGTCCCACGGTTCTGTTCCCGAGNACGGAAGCGAGCACAGACGAGTTGAGCGTATCCGAAGATTCACCCGAGGAAACCAATTCAAACGATTCCTCTTCAATCGTCCAAAGCGCATGACTACTGCCGGTCTGATCTGCAGACGACGGGGGGAGCGAACGAGCGGTGCCCGAAGAACGAGCGTTACTTGATGGCCCCGAAGGTCCTACGGTTCTGTTCCCGCACCTCAAGACAGCACTCGCGCCAGACTGGTTAGTTTCTGACGGAGCGCCAGCCGGAAGAGGCAGAGACGCAGAGGTGGCAGACGATAAGTGCGATGGAGTAGGTGGGACGAGAGCACTTGGCTGGATACCAACCTGATCGACACTTGTAGAAACAACGGATACCGAAGTATGGTTGTTATTGTGTGGTACCGAAGTACCAGATGGGATAACATTCACCGAAGTGTGGTTATCGTTGCCTAGGACCGAAGTGCTAGAGGCAATAGTGGGTGAAGGCGCAACAAATTCCCAAGTATTGTTGTTGCTGCGTAAAACCGAAGTATTAGAGGCAACAGTGTGCGGAGGTGTAACAGATACCGAGGTATTGTTGGTGCATAAAACCAAAGTATTAGAGGCAACAGAGCGTGACACACGAACGAGCGTCTTGTGATAAACGAGACGAAGTCCCCGAAGATGCTGAAGGCGGTCCGAGGGAAGTAGGCGAACCACCGTTGATGGGTCATCCGCTGCGGGAACGACCACCATGTTGGAAGGGTTGACGGGCATTGTGATTGGTCGAAACCATAATGCCAGACGAAGGACCGGTGTGTGCATGTGTTTGTGTTTGATAGAGGGACAGAGCACTAGTGTGTTGGGTGTTGACCGGAGTGTGTTGATGAGAGCGAGAGTTACCGGTAGAATTTCCCGGGGCATGCCCACTGTTGTGCGATTGTGTCAGAGGAGTGTGAGGGGAACTGCCACCGTCGGAACGGCGATTCCCAGCGTGGTTTCCACGCTGAGAGGACGAAGAGGAAGAGCGCTAGTGGCATCTACCCTGATTGTTTTGGCGGTTGTCCGCACTTTTTCGGCGAAAAGACGCATACGGCCTTGCCAACGTCTAATAGCAGCAGAATCGTCATTGAGGAGGCCTGACTCGGGGTTCGACAACCCATTAGAATTCGTGAACGGTGCAACGCATTGTTTCATGGAATGGTCTTCACCCGAGCAGTTCAGACAGCGATTCCTGTTTTCGCGGAAGGCTTGCGAGCGAGCCTCTTGTGTCAACAAAGGAGTCCACAAAAAAGGATCATCCGTGTCACGAAAACTAGCAGTGAGAGCGTATACATCAGACCAATCGGCTTGCGAGGCAGGCCAAGAATTATAGTTGCGTGTGAAAGGGTCGGTATCGTGCGATTGTACCGGCAAAACTACAGGGTTCTGGTAGNCGAGCCTCTTGTGTCAACAAAGGAGTCCACAAAAAAGGATCATCCGTGTCACGAAAACTAGCAGTGAGAGCGTATACATCAGACCAATCGGCTTGCGAGGCAGGCCAAGAATTATAGTTGCGTGTGAAAGGGTCGGCATCGTGCGAATGTACCGGCAAAACGACAGGGTTTTGGGCAGAACCGGTTGCCCACTGGCCCGAAGGCGCGGGAGCGCGGTTGTGGGACCGCCGAGGCTGCGAGGAGCCATGTGTCGAAGACAACGAAAAATAAGACGAACCGCCGATAGCCGGGGTTTTATTTGTCGCTAGAGGCGCGAACGCCTCCCACATATCCGCAATCGACGAAAAAGGAGTGACGGCCGTGGCCAGAGCACCCGGGTACAAAATTGGAGACAAACTCGGAAACTGCTTGCAGACAGAATGCCGCACTATTTCTAGAACCATGGATACACTCGGAGCGAGAGTACGCTCAGAGCCTGTCACAGACGAAACCAACAACCGGAAAGCACGAAGGTAATCCGCGAAAGAAGTACCATCTGCTACGCCAAATTGCTGTAGCCGCAAAAACGACTCTTGACGGTCGCCGACATCAAATTGCTCTGCAAGATGACGCAACAGCAACTGAAAGGCTTCGGGCCCAGTGGCACCGCCGTCCAAGCTTCTCTTCACCTGCTGAAAATAATCAGTGATGGAGAGGACGAGATCGGCAGTAGAGGGCTTGTCAGGGGTGATCGCACTCAAAAGTTTCTTTTCGAGAGGTCGTTCCCATCCACGCACGAAATCATTACCGTACAACCCATCACTCTGCTCATCACACAACAACAAAATATCGGATAAAGCCGTACGTGTTGTGCGAAGAAGCTGCTGATAGCCATCGCCCGGCAACAGAGTTGCAGGAAAGGGCATGGTAGCGACACTCTCAACCTTTTTCAAATTGAGGGTGATGTACGCGCGTTTCACTGTGGTAACATGAGCCGCACGTGCAAGAGCATCGGTCGCATCTATCGTGGCTTGACGAGCATGTGCGAAAGCGACACTCTCAACCTTTTTCAAATTGAGGGTGATGTACGCGCGTTTCACTGTGGTAACATGAGCCGCACGTGCAAGAGCATCGGTCGCATCTATCGTGGCTTGACGAGCATGTGCGACGTTTGAAGAAAGTGGCAAAACACGATCATCAACAACAACGGGGGGTGTGACAGCAGCTACCGAAGCAGCAGGGGGAGCATGGTCCGAAGACCACACCGCATGCGGAACGCCCGGCACAAAAGCCGAGGGGGGGTGTGGGTTCGAAAACCCAGGATTGTGCATGATTTCTGAATCTACAGCACGGTGAGCGGCAGAAAAAACAGAGGGTGCAACAGTTTCCGAAGAAACAGGGGTGGCCGAAGCCGGAAGGTTCGAAAACGCAACACGAGTTTCCGAAGAAACAGGGGGGGCCGAGGCCGTAAGGTTCGAAAACGCAACACGAGTTTCCGAAGAAACAGGGGGGGCCGAGGCCGGAAGGTTCGAAAACGCAACACGAGTTTCCGAAGAAACAGGGGGGGCCGAGGCCGGAAGGTTCGAAAACGCAACACGAGTTTCCGAAGAAACAGGGGGGGCCGAGGCCGGAAGGTTCGAAAACGCAACACGAGTTTCCGAAGAAACAGGGGGGGCCGAGGCCGGAAGGTTCGAAAACGCAACACGAGTTTCCGAAGAAACAGGGGGGGCCGAGGCCGGAAGGTTCGAAAACGCAACACGAGTTTCCGAAGAAACAGGGGGGGCCGAGGCCGGAAGGTTCGAAAACGCAACACGAGTTTCCGAAGAAACAGGGGGGGCCGAGGCCGGAAGGTTCGAAAACGCAACACGAGTTTCCGAAGAAACAGGGGGGGCCGAGGCCGGAAGAACGAAATCATCACGCAAAAAGAAACGAGTTTCCGAAGACGCGTCCATAAGAGACGGAACTACTTGCCTTTGTCGACCCGGTTTACGAGAGAGGCTGGTGTCCGAGCCCGACCCGGTCCAGCTCTTGGTTTTGGACCCGCGGGCGCCATCCCAGCTTCGCTTCGCCACCTTTCTCTCACGGCTCCCTCCCGCCGAAGAAGAAGAGGGCTCTTGAGGCCGACGCGAGGCTCCAGCCGAACTCCAGCCAGACTCTTCTCCTGAGCTGCCAGGACCACTCTCCCGACTCGAGCGCGACGGTTGCGCCTTCTTGACCCTGCCGGGCGCTGGTTGTTGAAAGCCACCGGAGGGCGCCGAAGGCGGGCCGCTGCAGCCAGGGTACACTACCGGGGCAGTGGCGCGAGCGTTGGCCTTGCGCATCCCCGCAAGAAGACGGCTGGCCAAGTCCCGAAGATCCGGACGGGAGGTGTTTGCCACATCGATCGCCTCCTGGATGGTGACAGCCGCCGGCAACGCGTTGAACATGTCCGCGGCCAGATCCTTGACCGATGCGCGATCCTCCGGGAGGAAGTTAAATTGTGGGGAATTGGCAACATCAGCCAGTGTGGCCGGGGTGAAGCCGAAGTCGCCGGATTCGAAGGTAACAGGACCGTGCCGCGACGATGAGGAGCGGGTGACCGGGCTGCACGAAGCAGCAGCCGCGTACGTGCGGGACGGGGCGGCAGAGGCAGTTGATGCTGGTCTCCCTCCGGCGCCCGAGACGCAGGGCGACCGCTTCGCACGGTCGCGGAGTTCGCCCTCTCGCCTTCTTTCGGCCTGACGGCCAGCTTCCACGAGGTGGTCCTCTTGCCGACGGTCGGCGGTGAGGGTGGCCGCCAGCTGGCTCCGCTGACGGTCATATTGCTGCTGGAGGGCCTCCAGATCTTGGATTTTCTGTGCGTTGGACGCCCGGTTCGCACGCAAATGCTTGAGCTCTTCCTCGCGGGCGGAGACTTCGCAGAGGAATTCCTCGTCGGCGAGGGCGTCCTGGGCGAGTTGGGCTGCTGCGCGGTCGGCATCGACGGCCGCGCCGCTCGCCATGCGAACGGCGTCCGTCCAGGCGGTCACCCGGGCCTTCGCGGACATGACGTCCCACAAAGCCAGAGGGAGCCACGGCGGGCACGAGAGGGGCGCAGCCGTGGCCGAAGTCGTGGCCGAAGCCGGGGGCACTGTCGAAGCAGGGGTGGTGGCCGAAGCCGAAGGTGCCGCCGAAGCAGCGGTGGTGGCCGAAGCCGAGGGTGCCGCCGAAGCAGCGGTGGTGGCCGAAGCCGAGGGCGCCGCAGGGGGCAGGGTCAGCGGAACAGGATCGGATGGCCTGTCGGTGGCTGTGGACCTCGCGCCGCCTCCGGTGGTTGAAGACCGTAGCTCCGGAGTCGAAAGGCCGGCAGAAGACGTCGTCTCGGGCTGGACGGTAGGAGACGTGGCCACCATTGTAGTACGGCGTAGGATGTCGTTGAGATGGCGGTTGTGGCGTTCTGCGATTTCAAGACGAAGCAAGGCATCAGCCGTAGCAGCACGTTCATGCGAGGAAAGGATAGGGGGGAGTGGGGGCACCGGTTCAGGATAAATAAAAGGTGCAGCGGCAGAGGGGACCGAAGAAACAACTGAAGGTGCAGCTAGAGGTGCCGAGGCAGAAGCTAGCATAGCAAAGTCAGTCGAAACGGTAGGCTCGAAGCTCACGGTGCGAACACGCGGATCTGTGGACAATGCGGGCAGAGGTGTATCTACTGGCATATCAGCGGTGTTTACAGCAGCCGAAGCAGCTGGCACAGGGCCCTGCATGGGAACAGTAGGGGCAGGGAAGGGGGCAGACGACACTGTACGCATAGCCGAAACTGCACGCAGAGGCGGAGCTGCAGGGATAGTAGCATCGCGAGCAGCCGAAGCTACTGTGGGTAGGGGCGGAGCTAACGGAATGGGCAAAAGTACACGTGTAGCAGTCGAAACTGCAGAAACAGGTGCACCGTTGTTGGGAACATGGAAGGCATTGGGGGGGGCAGACGGCACAGTACGCAGCGTCGAAACGGTACGCAAAGGTGGGGCTGCAGAGGTAAAAGCACCGCGGACAGTCGAAACTGTTGTGGGTAGAGACGGAGCTAAAGGGATGGGAGCAAATACACCTGCAGCAGTCGAGACCGCAGAAACAGGCATATCAAAAACAGTCGAAACCGTAGGTGTAGTCGAAACTAATGAAGCCAGAGCATCGGAGGCAAACGAAATTGCCTGTGTGGACGAAACCAAGGAATCAAATGCATTGGAATCAACTGGAAGGGCCGGGGTAGCCAAAGCCACGGTAGGGAGTGCACCAGAGGCAATCGGAATCACCCGTGTAGTCGAAACTACTGGAACAGAAGTATGTGAAGCGGCGGGATCGGCAATCGGTGATGTCACTGAAGCGGATGCGCGGCGGTCATGAAGCCGTTGAGCGCGAGCCGCTGCTTGTACACGATTGCTACGCGAAGAAAAAGGGGGAATCACCGGCACTGTATAGTCAAATTGCAACGTGCTGCGAGAAGCCGAGCGATGAGACAAGCGCGGTACTACAGGGCCAGCATCATGGTCGAAACCGATGTCTGTCCCAAGAGCAGAGTGCTCAACGGTGGATGGAGCGAGAGGAAAATGCGAGTCTACATGTGGTGCACGCGGGAATTCAGAAAGCTCATCACCAGCAGCCGACGAGACGGACTGCTGTTGCACACCCAAAGGTACAGAGGCGGGAACCGAAGTTCCAGGTGTGGGTGCTGGCGGTTTGAGGACAGCACCCACGGGGTTAGCGTCGGCCGAAGCCGGCGAGGCGAACCTCTCTCGTGTGCGTTGAGCGCGAAGCTCTGACAAACGAGTGGCTTCAGCAACAGGGTCAGCGGCACGGGCACTGTCCGAAGACAGCAGCAGCTGTGTGGTTTGACAACCAGCTGCTGGTGACCCGAAGGTCGCTGCGCCGGGTGATGACGCTGGCGAACGCAAACGTTCCGAATGCTCAGGACTCGCCGAAGCGGAGTCCGAGGAGCCGACGCTAGGTTGAGACATACCGATAAGCGAGGCAAAGCTAAGCTGTGGTTGGGACGGAAGCGCAAGAACTGCCACAGCAGTTCGAAGCACCAAACAGGCCAAAACACAACCAACCAAGACAACACCGTACGAATAAGCCGACAACGCCAAGTGTGGTGGTATANAGAACTGCCACAGCAGTTCGAAGCACCAAACAGGCCAAAACACAACCAACCAAGACAACACCGTACGAATGAGCCGACAACGCCAAGTGTGAGGGTATACACGCGTGATGAGGGTCTGGTTGACCTCTGGAGAAGAACTCACTTGTTGTTACTCTTGCAGAACAGCAGCAGCAGTAGCTGTTGCCTTGGGTATCGGTAGGAATGACACCAAGGGGCGCAGGATCCTCAGTACAAACAGGGGCTACTAGATCCTGTCCCCTTTGTTTTATCCTTCCGCGGAGAGTTGCATCTCTCCGCGCCTTCTAGAAGGNCGAAGGAACCATGCTCTTTTATGTTCCGTCTACACATCTGAATCCTATATAAGTACGGCCATGAACGACCATGCGCCCTGTTTTTTTTCTGGTCTTACCCGTTTCGCCGTGTGCCTGTTTCCATCGCTCTTTAGGGTTAGGGTTAGGGTTAGGGTTAGGGTTAGGGTTAGGGTTAGGGATTACGGGGCGGAGCACTCCGTGGGAAAGAAGCGCTCCGGGAACAACCCTGAGAAATTCAGCTCACCGGATTGTGCGTGTTGAGTGTACTTAGGCTCCGGCGGGAAGCACACCCGACACCAACAGTTTGTGCATCATAAGTGCGCATCTATCGCGCAGGGGTTATGGATGCAACTTGGTTTGGTAACGATATTACGTGGACAATCCAAACGATCAGAAAATCCATGAGCTTCCGCGCCTTCAGTGAAGCACCCCAACCGAGCTCTGAGCTTGAAGGATTTTCGCCCTGCCCACAAGTTGTATTTGAGCATTACATGTTTCGGGAATACAATGTGATACTCATAGCTTCACGGTCGACGAGGGAAAGGGATGGCTGAACCCTTTTCGCGATAAACACTGAGGCAAAAGCACCGCAGAGGGAATGGTGGGGCAAAAAACAAACGTAATTTTACGAGGAAAGCTCCTGTGTGATCTTCCCCTAGTGTGACCCCGGCTGATGCGTCAGATATTTGCACCAAAAGGCCTGTAAACCGGCGCCAGAATAGGTGGGACGAACACACACACTGCCTAGAAATGGCTGTAATAATGGCGATGAGAGTGATGGTGGTGGAGGCAAAGAGGACGATGGTGAATCACTCCAAAACGAGCTAGAGTGCAAGGTAGCAGCCTGGGTAGACACGTGCAGGTTTCCTCTGTTGCTACCGTTTCTATCTTCTATCCGGAGACTACAGCTTAGCCTCCCCCATGCCGCCCGCTCACGGGGTCCTCGTTTATGACGAATGTTTTGTGTTTTCAGCCGCGCACTGAGACTGACGTCTTTTCATTGGCCGGCCGGCTAGCGCAGTCGATGCTAATAATAAAATCACTATTTTCATGTTACTCACAGGATGTCGAGAGGTACTAGACTTGATTGTAGAGTGGAAGCACGTGGGGTCGCTACTTTTTTCTTCGCCGCGCAACAAGCGAACCCTTGTCCCCACCATACGTCATTCTGCGACAAGATGTCGTACTGTTGTCTCATGTAGTGGCAGACGTTAAGAACCTCAGTGGTTGCAGGCGGAAAGTGCGAACATTCACGACATTGTTGAATTGCAATCCCCTGCTGGGAAGCGGGTCGATGGCCTGATGACCATGCCGCCGACTACTGTATTTCAACATTTTCAATAGTGCATCCCTTTTCCGTCACAAGTTCCAAATACATATTTTTCTTCAGTCGTTCGACATACCAATGGTTGTTGCAACAACAGCAACAAGCTTGCCCTATATGCATGGGTTGTCGAGGTCTTCCTGCACTCGAGCAAGATGTCACTCTTACTATGACTCGATGCATTGGCTATGTGTCAGGGACTTAATGGTGTTGAGTACGTGTTGTTGTTGCTGTTGTTGTTGTTGTTGTTGTTGTTGTTGTTGTTGTTGTTGTTGTTGTTGTTGTGTTAACACTTCATACCGGTTCGAGCTCCTCTGTGCCAAGTACCTTCTCCTGTCCGTACTGATCTGCCACTTGTCGCAGTCGATCCACGTGGTCACAGGCAAAATTACAAAAGAAAGGTAAGCGTACTCTAAACTATACAGGGAAGAACCTGAAAGGCCATCAAAACAAACGAGGTGAAAATCGAGCCGAACATTGTGTGGACACGACGGTCAGCAACACAACCAGTGAAAAAAATACCAGAAACACCAACGTGTACAGTAGCAGAAGACTACGTGTAGGGAAAAGATTGCCCCCCCCGCCCACCAATGGGGCGGGCGGTCAGTCTAAGAGTGATGACTAACGTTTTGCTCAACTGAAAGGTCGCGTTTGCAACGCCCGGTGGAAACGAGAGGCCATCTATGCATATACTACAGTGAAATCATCTTGTAGCACTAGCACGGTTGCCCGAGGCAAGCAACGATACCAATCACAGACCAGTGTGGCTAAACGCTGGTTCCAAACTGCTGCTGGCCTTATGATATGCATCCAATGAATGCAGCTCGCTATGCCGTACAGAGCTCACCACCAGATCTGCTTCCAGCCCTGTATGACTTTACAAAGAGGACAAGCCTACCCTCGCAGTCTGGCCGCCCGCGACTTTGTGAGGAGGGGGGCTATCATTCCCCCTATTAATAGTTTGCTACTACTTACAGGTGTTTCTGTTCATTTTTCTTTACTAGTTGTGGTCTTAGCCATCATGTCCATGTATTCTTTCGGCTCTTTTTCCGCTTTTTTTGTTTGGCCTTCCAGGTCCCTATTTTTTTCGTTTGCCTATGACCACGTGGATCGCCCACGTCAAAAACAGATCAGTACGGACAGGGGAAGGTACTTGGCACAGAGGAGCTGGCACCGGTATGGAGTGTTGGCACAACAACATCAACAACATCAACAACACGTACTCAACACCAAACAGTCTATGAATCATGGGCTACGCATTGAGTCATGTGTAGTAACGAGCCATGACTAATGTTGGGTTCAACTGAAATTTCGCGCTTGCGACGCTCGGTAGAAACGAGAGGCCATCTTCATAACGACAAGGTCTTGGAGGACCAGCACGGTTGCCCGAGGCAAGCTACGATACTAATCACAGACCAGTGCAGTTAACCGCGGGTTAAAATCTGTTGCGAACACTGTGTCATGCATCGGATGCAGCTGGCTTCTGCTAAGCTGACTGGCGATTTGAATTTTTGTGGGGCCTCGAAATTGGCGTAAGTGCCAATATTTGTCGAAAATCGACGAACCGGACACATTGGTGCAGTAGGCGCCAAGATCAAATTTAACCACTGATTGGTACATTGAAACGAGTTAGATGTGTCTCCGCTGCTTTCTTCGTATGCCATGAAATGTTTGTATTGGATTTTACGAGGCCTTCGTAACGGCCGGTGTCTGCCTCCGACATGTCTCGACGCTTCAGTAGCCTGGTAGACAAGTGATCACTGTTTTTCGCGCATTTCCCAGATCTTATTTGTCTTCGACCATGTAGTTTGCAGTGGTTTCATTGTTTTCCAAATACATTGGATCGGTCAATTGGGAAACGCTTTTAATTCTGTCTATGGGGCCCTTGTACCGCACATGTAACAACATATTCGCCTGATTGAGAGCGTAGCATCTGATTGAGAGCAAGATTGCGCGATACGCTGTAGCCGGACTACCACTGAGAGGTGGAGCTTGCTGTGTAGCTTGAATTGAAGGGCTAGCCCGTAGCTTCAAGCCGCTACCCTGGTCATCCTGTGGGAGTCTCTCGTTGTGGAGCTACAGCGGGGAGCAGAAGCTACAGCAGAGCCCACCGCCCGACGCGATACCGCCCTGAAACAGTTTGAGCAGAAATAGCCAATCTGGGCAAATCTAGCAACTTGTCTAGCTCCTCGCTGCAGCATCCGATGACGATGACACGCATATGCTCGCGAAGCTGCTGATGAGACCTTCAATTTGCACCGCTTCTTGGAATAGCCCGTCCCCTACTTGCCAAGAAATGGCAAGAGGCGTCTGGACCCGAAATTTCAATTTTTTTGGCTCTCGCTCTCAATCAGATACTTCGCTCTCAATCAGGCGAATATGTTGTTATGTGTGTCCGAAAGCACGCATTACCGTCGCGGCATACATCACATCCTACAGTACGTACCTCGACCTGTAGACGACAAGTTCGGGCCCGCACATGAGTGACGTGGAAATCACGTCAAGGCTCAATTTTATATTTCGCCACCATCGTCGAGTATTGGCGATTGCATTGAAGTTGGTGTAGGATCTCCGGCGGAGCGCGTTACTTTACCTGTTTTCAATGTCGTCAAAAATTGATCCTTTGCCCCTATCGGAATCGTTCCTTATTCCAGACCCTCACCGTATCACATTCCTGGCCGACAGGCCCATTTGCATATCCAGCCGACCTCACACGGGGCTTCACCGTCTGCTTCTAGGCATCCTTCGACCCTCGCAAGAAAGCCTACACTGTGATCGGAGAACAATGGATGCCATGGCTACCACCGAAGGTGAGAGGGCTGGGTTCGGTTATGCCTGTATCGAAAGGACTGGCAATAGCCCGTGGACCTACCTTATGGGGAAATATGTTGCGACAATCCTGCCACAACTTCCATGACACATAATCCGGTAGATATGGATATGTACCTCGTTTGTTTGACGTCCGAGCCCGTTGGACCGGTACCGATGTTGGAATGTACTGAGCAGAAACGAGAACTGTTTGAAAACATGCAGACAAGCAGCAACAACAACTGCAAACAGCAGTGGCAGCCGCAACAATAACAGCAGCAACAACAGATGACGCGCACAATATTGGACACGTCGATTGTCCAACGCAAGAAAAGAGCCAAGGCTTCAAATGGCCGGCGCACTGCCACGTCGAAATCAAACCAGGTTGTAAATATCCCGTCCGTCGGCCGCCAGCCTTCCGGCGACAAGTCTATGCCACACAAAGCACATCATACCCGATTTTCGGTCGTGTCCGCCGAGACTTGTATCATTTGTCGGACGACAGGCGGGTGCGATCGTGTAGAGCGCCGGACCGCTCGTGAGAAAGGACCTCGTAAGACGTTGAGCCTCAGATTGATGGACAGATATGAAGGAACACGTCAGACGAACAGCCTCTTTGCTGGACATGCTGTTCGTAATGGAAAGTTTTCTTTAAAAGGAGTTGACATTCACTGCTGGCTGGTGAAAGAGAATTTTGAAGTAGGAAACAGATGTAGCCAAACATGCTCTTGCCAGACCTAACCAATGTCGACAGAAAAAAACAGTTCACATCTCTGCGGCGATCAAAGTTGTTGAGCATCGTCCGAAACAATCGTCTCTTACAAGCGGACCGGCCCTGCATGTCGAAACAATCACACCAACGCGCACGAGCTGCCGTGAGCCTTTCAGCGGAGCTCGAGCGAAGTGCTGTGTTTAGTCGGACTCTGTGGAGCAATATGGCGCGGTTGAGCTACAGTGGAAGCTCGAGCTAGCTAGGGCAGGGGAACACCAGGGTGATCCTCAAGGGGGCACATTCACAAAACTTGTGTTGTGGAAGGTGGACCTTTGTGGATGCCTGTAATGAAATCAAGGCAAGGCGCACTAGTTCCCCATCATAGAGACACAATTGCTGCTTGAAACTTTACGTCCTTGCATGCCCAGAAAAAATAGACTTGGGCAGCGGCAAGGATCGACAACTCTTCCGCATTTGGGACACAGATCAACATTGACGTTACAGGCAGGCGGAGGGAGAGTGACGGGTTTGATGGCCACGTTGCGCCTGTGGACCTGTTGACCCAACACCGCCGGTAACACGGGCAAATGGCGTGGTAGGCATACAATGTAGTTACCCCTGTGTTATGAGTGCGGTTTCAATCGAGTGTGCTCCACGTGCATGCGAAAGGCCCACTTCATGACTGCGGTACCCGACATAGCCCAAATGGCTGCCTTTTTGAGTCTCACAGCGGCGTACAGCATGGTAGTTTTGCCAGCCCCAACTACCGTGCGACGGACCGGTGGGCGTCGTCAAGCATGAACAGAAGAGACAGTGGTCAATCACAGGGCACCACGTTTTTGATGACTAATGGCTTGTTTTTGCTGTCCGCAGGCTTTGACTTTGTGGATCCCCTTCATGATTTTTCCTACATTGCCTCCCCCTTCACCCACACAGGCGCGTAGCAGGTCCTGAGGCCCGCAACACCATTTTTTTCGTTCCCGTTGTACATGTTCGGCCCACTGTCTCAGGAGGGGGCAAGTGCCTGGACGCACCCATTGTCGCATTAAACCAGGCTTGCGATGACCGACGGAAACGTTGGTATGCGTCTATGCTGGAGCTGCAGCTGGTTTCGCTGGCATATTGTGGGGCGTGCAGCAGTGCTCGGCTGTTGCACGTACGCGTCGACGAAGACACACCTCCTACCTTGTGGTCTTCTCATACATCACACACCATACTCAGCCAGCGCAGTCCAGAGGTTTGCACCTTGAATCGCGTGCCGACTGTGCGGGCTTTTGGTTGGACGTGGAAGCTTCCGATGGACCGCGTGCCGCCGAGGGCTGCAACTGAGCTGCAGCCAGGGCCAGAATGTCGGCGTCAAAATGGACACTCATGTGCAGCAAGCGCCGGGTCGGTGGTTTGGCCCCAAAGTCTCAATCGGCTGGTATTTCATTCGGACGTTCCGGTAAACACGGTGTCATGGCCTGCCTCCCTGCAGCAGCGATGCTTATTTGGCTTCTTCAACCAGCCTATCACCGACACCGTGTGACCGGCCTCCCTGAAGCAGCTATTGTTGGGCGGTCGCTTCAATCAACCTGTCGCCGACGTCGTGTGGCCGGCCGCCCTGCAGCAGCTAACGTTGCGTCGACGTTTAACCAGCCCATCGTCGGAGCCACATGGCCGCCCTCCCTGAGGCAGCTATCCTTTGGGGAAAACTCAACCAGCCCATCGTCGGAGCCATGTGGCCGGCCTCCCTGAAGAAGCTATCGTTTGGGAAAAAACTCAACCAGCCTATCGCCGACGTCGTGTGGGCGGCCTCCCTGCAGCAGTTATCCTTTACATGGTCCTTCAACCAGCCCATCGCGGGAGCCACGTGGGCGCCCTCCCTGAAGAAGCTATTGTTGGGCGGTAGGTTCAATCAACCTATCGCCGACGTCGTGTGGCCGCCCTCCCTGGAGCAGCTATCGTTTGGGTGAACGTTCAACCAGCCCGACCTCCCCTTACTTACGAAGCTATTGTTGGGCGGTAGGTTCAATCAGCCTATCTCCGACGTCGTGTGGCCGGTCTCCCTGAAGCAGCTATCCTTTGGGAAAATATTCAACCAGCCTACCGTCGGAGTCACGTGGCCGGTCTCCCTGAAGCAGCTATCCTTTGGGAAAATATTCAACCAGCCTACCGTCGGAGTCACGTGGCCGGTCTCCCTGAAGCAGCTATCCTTTGGGAAAATATTCAACCAGCCTACCGTCGGAGTCACGTGGCCGGTCTCCCTGAAGCAGCTATCCTTTGGAAATGAATTCAACCAGCCCGTTGCCGAAGCCGCGTGGCCGGTCTCCCTGAATCAGCTGTCGTTTGGACGTAGAATCAACCAGCCCATCGTCGGATCCACGTTGCCGGTCTCCTTGAAGCAGCTATCCTTTGGGCATATGTTCAACCAGCAGGTGGCGGAGATTGGGTGGCCGGCCTGCCTTCAGCAGCTATCCTTTGGGAAAATATATAACCAGCCTACCGTCGGAGTCACGTGGCCGGTCTCCCTGAAGCAGCTATCCTTTGGAAATGAATTCAACCAGCCCGTTGCCGAAGCCGCGTGGCCGGTCTCCCTGAATCAGCTGTCGTTTGGACGTAGAATCAACCAGCCCATCGTCGGATCCACGTTGCCGGTCTCCTTGAAGCAGCTATCCTTTGGGCATATGTTCAACCAGCAGGTGGCGGAGATTGGGTGGCCGGCCTGCCTTCAGCAGCTATCCTTTGGGAAAATATATAACCAGCCTACCGTCGGAGTCACGTGGCCGGTCTCCCTGAAGCAGCTATCGTTTGGACATGAATTCAACCAGCCCGTCGCCGAAGCCGCGTGGCCGGTCTCCCTGAATCAGCTGTCGTTTGGACGTAGAATCAACCAGCCCATCGTCGGATCCACGCTGCCGGTCTCCTTGAAGCAGTTATCCTTCGGGAATAAACTCACCCAGCCTATCGTCGGAGCAACGTGGCCGGTCTCCCTGCAGCAGCTATTGTTTGGGCACGAACCCAACCAGCCTGTCGCCCACGTCGCGTGGCCGGCCTCCCTGCAGCAGCTATCCATTGGGAAAATTTTCAACCAGCCTATCGTTGGAGCCACGTGGCCGGTGTCCCTGAAGCGGCTATCGTTTGGGTATACTTGAAGTATGTTCAACCAGCCTGTCGCCGACGTCTTGTGGCCGGCCTCCCTGTAGCTGCTATGGTTTGGACATTAATTCAACCGGCCTATCGTAGACGTCGTGTGGCAAGCTTTTCTGCAGCAGCTACCCTTTGGGAACAAATTCGACCAGCCTATCGCGGACGTCTTCTGGCCGGCCTCTCTGCGGCAGCTATCCTTTGGGGAAAAATTCAACCAGCCCGTCGTCGGAGCCAGGTGGTCGGCCTCCCTGAAGCAGCTGACGTTTGGAGATGAATTCAACCAGCCCATCGTAGACGTCGTGTGGCCGTCCTCCCTGAAAAGGCTATCTTTCGAGCGTAGTTTCGAGCAATCGTTGGCCGACGTCTTATGGCCACCTTCCTTAGCAAGTGTGACTCATGACGGGCGCCCTCTGCTATGGACGCTTGCGAGGTAGGCATCCATTCGTGTGGAGTCTTTTATCGGGAATGCCGAACATTTAGGCCGTGGTGCCTTGTGTACAAGAGAACGTGTTTTGTTGTGAGGCTCTGAGAGACAAAGCTAAGATCGGGGTTGTTGTTGTTGTTGTTGTTGTTTGTCACATTAGCTCTATAGTCCACAAAAAATGGGGAGCCCGTGGTCTCAAAACCCGGCACATACGACGCCGCGGGAAAACAAAAGAACAAAAATAGGGTGCAAACCACTCTGAAAAAGAAAACAAAAATTATAGAAAGAAAATAACAGGTATCGCACCGACCGTTCGAGAAAAGAGCCCTCGGAAACCGATCAAAATAAAACAAAACAAAATAAAGGAGGACGCTTCCCACACCCGCCCAAAGAAAAATCAAAGGGTAACGTACCAGCACCAGGCACCACGCACGAGGGCATGGGAATAACGGAGCAAACAGGGCAAAGAGGCGGCAGATTGGCAGACAGCCAGACGTACAAAAAACAAAGGCAACAGCAAAGCGAGATCAAGGTACCCAACACAGCAGAG